TAACGAATAGATCCAATAGCGATTGAAGACGAATACAATCCTCAGTACATCGCACCACGAAATACAGCTTTAGGTCATCGGCATACGCAAGCCTGCAACCATCTCCAAGTACAAGCAATACGTCGTTGAAGAATAAAAGAAACAACAACGGACCAAGATTGCTACCCTGTTGTACGCCCGATGAGTTCGTAAAATACGAGGAAGTACTGGAATCAAGTTTAACCCGCAAAGACCTGCAAGTCAGGTACGAGCAAAACCACGATGTCAACCGATTCGATGTGCCGAGTTTGGATAGCTTAGCCAATGGTTGATCGTATCAAACGCTGCTTTTAGGTCCGTATAGATGATGTCTACTTGCGCCCCATTCTCCAGTTGTTCGCAACACGTCGTGGTAAAATCCAGGAGATTTGTATTAACCGAATGTCCGGCATGAAGCCATGTTGGTCGCAGGAGATGTAACATTTGGTACGTTCAAGAATTACCCCACTCACAATTATCTCAAACAGTTTTGAGGCAGCTGAAAGGTTGGTGATTTCTCTGTAGTTTTTAACATCACGTTTGTCTCCTTTCTTGTGTACTGGAACCATAAATGACTCCTTCCACACAGCAGGAAATTTCGACTCCACAAACGATGCATTAAAGATTCTGCAAAGTGGCTCAACAAGAACTCTAATAGCGCGGCAATACACTACAGGAGGAATGCCGTCTCGTCCAGGCGTGAAGGTGCTTTTCATTTTCGTCGCGTCATTAGTTACCATTAAGGGCGTTACTTCGAAGGTATCCACGTCTAGAAGACTCGCAGGAACATCCGAAATAGCAGAGGCAAGTTCAGCCGAGTCGACAGATTCTGTGACAAAGACTGACGAAAAATGAACAGCAAAGAACTCACATTTCTCGTCGCTTATCGATGTTTCAACATCATTGAGAAAAATGGTTGCGGGTATAAAGGGCGAACACGAAATTTTTGCGACACATTCAATAGGGCATAACTTTTTTACCATTGGGTAAAAATCAACCAAATTTTGCACACTTTCTCATTGATGTGTATTGTGTACATGCTGTCAAACTCGAAGTCGTGTTTTTTGATTCAACGAAAATGGAGGTGAACCAACGCGAGTTGAGAGAACAAATTCTTTCCAAACACCTGGAATTTCCTGACCTGTCGCACCGGCAGTTGGGAAAAATGTTGAACATTCACCATTCAACCGTCTCCAGAGTGTTGAAGCGGTTCCAGGAGCGGTTGACGTTGGACCACGGCAAAAGAGCTGGAAGAAAACCGGGACCGGAGAACAAAAAGACGGAGGGAAAGGTGAAGCGGATGATTAAAGCAAATCCCAACGTCTCAAGCCGTGATCTGGCTAAAAAGATCGGCATGTCGCAGAGCTACGTCCAGAATGCAAAGCAGAGAGCTGGACTACATACATACAAGGTACAGAGCTTCCTAAACCGCGATGAGCGGCAACAATCGACGGCTAAAACTCGGGCACGGAAGCTCTACGAGAAGATGCTGACAAAATATGGCTGCTGTGTGATGGACGACGAAACGTATATAAAAGCCGATTTTAAGCAAATTCCGGGGTTGGAGTTTTTCACCGGCAAGAGCAAGTTCGATGTGGACGACAAATTTAAGAAGAAGAAAATGTCGAAGTTCGCCTCCAAATATCTCATTTGGCAGGCCATCTGCTCTTGCGGACTGAGGAGTGAGCCTTTCGTGACAAATGGCACAGTAAATGGCGAGATCTACAAATCTGAGTGCCTCGAGAAGCACCTTTTGCCGTTCTTGCAGCAGCACGACGAAGCTCCGCTATTTTGGCCAGATTTGGCATCATATGCCACTATTCTAAAAGTGTCCTGGAGTGGTATGAGGCCAATTCTGTCCATTTTGTTCCAAAGGACATGAATCCGCCAAACTGTCTGGAGCTGCGCCCGGTGGAGCAGTACTGGGCAATAATGAAGCGGGAACTTCGGAAGAGCAAGAAGACAGTCAAAGACGAGAAGGACATGTTAAGAAAATGGAAAAAAAAAAACTGAGAAACTGGTACCGGATGACACTGTAAAGACTTTGATGGAGGGCATCAAGTGAAAATGCGTTCAATTTTACACTCAAGGCTCCATCGATTAACTTTTCTTTTGATTTTTGAAGTAAATATATGTATAAAACTACCTTAAAATTTTGGTTTGATTCTAAACATTATAAGAAAATTGGCATGACATTTTCGGTGTCGCAATAATTTCGTGTTCGCCCTTTAGTAGTATTTTTCCTCTTCGAGTATACGTACCTCCAAAAGCTCTTGGGGTTTCGTCTTAGGTTAGTTTTCACACGTTAAACGTACGATTTGTAGAGCGAAGAGTTAAGCTTACGGTACTCGTTACACGCCAAGTGAAAGCTACGTTTATTAGCCAGAGAACGAAATCGCCGTAATCTACGTTGCGAAGCATTTCGTTTGCGTTTTAGTTTTTGTAGCAATACAGTGCTCCAGGCAGGAAAAACAGCAGGTCAACGAATCGGTACATTTGCATCCATCCAATCATTTAGCATAACGCATACTCGACAGGAAATCCAATAGAGCATCGAAATCAATCTTGTTGTAGTGTAACGCAATTCCATCACTGTCATTCTCATCATGCAGCTGTACACCATTGACAGTTAGAGATGGTAAGCAGACAACAAGCGGTGGATGATGAAGGTCGACAGGTGGTGACACAGATCTTGAGATTTCCTTAGCAAAATCCGTAGGGCAAAAGAGCAAATCGAGAATGCGTCCCAAGTGGTTGCGCTCGAGATTCTTTTTTTTTTTTCCTTTGGTTTGTTTTTTCCGTCGATCTTGTTTTCCGTGCTGAGCACCAATGCTACCGACGTGCCAGGAAGGCAGCTCCCACACCTGGACCCTACCTATCGACCCATCAACTCATGAACCGGGGACCAACGGCTTTACTTCCCATCCGAAGGAAGGCGTGATCAGAGATGTTATGCCTCAGAACATCCCGGCGGTGCCGACTGGGATTGAACCCAGGCCTGCTGGAGTGAGAGGTAATCACGCTTACCACTACACCACCGACGCCGTTGCGCTCGAGATTCATCTGATGCAAATTGAGGAAATCCATGCCATCAATCAGTAGGGAGCTAGCAATTGGTAATGGCACAGAGTTCACAGGTCTAATTTCGCCGTCAGACCAGTTCCAAAACACTTCAGGTTGATTATAGTCACCGCAGACCACCATGCATTCGTTGTCAGAACCTCTGTTATGCAGCTCATGGATCGACTGAATATGCGCATCTAGTACAGTGCGATCGTTGCTTTTGTTCGGAGGGACATATATAGCGCACAGCAGTAGCCGCTTGGAACCAATCATCGTCGATACACACACTTGCTCTAATGTTTTTCCGCTGACTACAGCGATACTGCTGCTTATGAAACGATGATGCACCGCAATCAGAACTCCTCCAAAACGAGATTTGTTGCTATTCATATAGTTTCGGTCACACCGGTACACATTGTAGTTGCTTCCGAAAAGCTGCGTCGAACTGATAGCGTCGTTGAGCCATGTTTCGATTAAAATAATGATGTCGAAATTGCAGTCCAGGGTGTTGCAGTAAAAGTCATAAATCTTGGTCCGCAGTCCTCGTACATTTTGATAGTACACCCATAAACGGCTATCATCGCAGGTCGTGTTCTGCAACAAGGAAATATCAGGCGCGGCAATAGTTGATGAATGGTACCGATACTCACCTCTGGTGGAAACCCTAGGGTTTCCACCGTCCAAAGAAAGTCGCAATGAATGAGTATCGATGATGGTGTCAACCTTAGGGCCTCCACCGTCCACGAGCGAGCGCCTTTAATCATTGTCAATGCATTGCTGTTGGATGCGGTTTGGTTTTTTGAATAATCGATGAATTCACGGAATAGAATTCCATCAATTCCAAGTTGAAGCGTCGAGAGCTAGTTCTTTCAAAGAAGGATCCAAGCCGACTTTGAAGGAGATGAAAGTCAGCTTCACCATATCAGCTTCCTTGGGAACTAGACGCACAACTTCAGCAGGTGTTGTTAAATTCATGCAGTGAGTAGCGATTTTTTGAATGTCCTCTACAGTTATTTGCGGGTGTAATCGTGACAGATAGAGAGAAAATTTTGGGGCAGAGGTCGATGGTGTCAGACATGGCACAGACAAGTCACTGAGATCAATAGCATTGGTCTCACGTGCAGAAGAAGTGATAATCGGCTCGCCTTCGTTACCACGACGGCGTTTAACATCCAGTTGGGGCCATGCATTTCCATTCCTTGTTCGATGCGATGGTCACTCAGCAGGAGTATCCATGGGAATGCACTTGACGACTTTGTCACTCAACGATTCAACCAACTTGAACAGCTGTTGAACCTGGGCCGGTAATCCATCATTGGAGTTCGTGTTCCTGAACTTGTCCGCCAGGGGCGCTTGCCATTTCAAATTAACCGATTTTTCAATTTCCACCTGAACATGTATATCAGATACGCTAGTTATTGGATTAGATTGCTGCATTTTACCTATCTTGTAATTTTTTTTTTTCGGTTTGGAGCTAAGTAGTCGTTACCCTTACTATGCACAACCACAGCACTGGACCTTCCTGATCCGAAAAAACAACAATAATTTTTTTTATAAACTAATTGTTTAACCCGACTGGGATATTGTAATTGTTCACAATTAACCCTTAATTTAATTTTTATTTTTTAACATTCAAAAACTATACATAATTAATAAAAAACAAAAATATGATCGGAACCGGAAAAAAATTCGAAAATGCCAGTTATACCCACATAATTTCCCTCCGTGCTTCCCTCGATACAACTGAACAGCTCCGATTGACTTTATTTGCCGTCAAACAATCAGACCATTCCACAGTAACGGCACGGCGGTCAATATTGATCGGGACGGACGAGCTTGCTCAGTTGCCGGCTGTCTGCTTTAAATACCAACGGATCAATCGATCAATCATCCAGTTGGAAAAGTTCATTTTCTAGCAAACCACAACTTTCGTTCTGAGCAAGTAAGATGCTTCGCATCAAAGAAGTTAAAAGGTACAACCAGCGTTTGGGATTCCCAGCCGGGAAGGAAGTCCGGATCAAGCCACTGGAACAGGGGGACTTTGCGCGTGGTCCCATCTACGTCAAGTACGGTCGGGAACTGTCCAGGCATGATCCATCGTCTACCCGGATGACTTGGAACGCGACGGTCTTCGATACGGCTGTGAACCATCCGCAGCAACCGTGGACGGTGACCAAGACCGGTGGCAACAAGCCGTTGGTTTTGGCGGTGATGAAAAAGGGATTGGGTGCGTCGGAGGAAGACCCACCGAAGAATATGGTGACCAAGGGCGGCGATGATCTGTCCGAAGATAACTATCATGAGGGAAATTCCACGCTCTTCCTGGTCAAGTGTGGAGGAAAGGACTTTGCCGTTGGATTGGATGACTTGAAAGATTTGAACTCGTTTGGGATCAATGCCGGAGGCGGAAAATTGTCCCTAAAAGGAGGTAGCCCTGTTATGGACGTTGCAGGCAGTATTGTTCCAGTTGAGCAGCAGGACGGGTCGGTTACGTATGTTGCTGTGAATAACGGTGCCAAATCGGTGATGTACAAGTTGAATGAGAAAGGCCTGCAGAAGTCGCAGAAAATTGAGTTGAGAGTTACGACTAACGCTGAGAAGATATTGCTCACCAAGCAAGGTGAAATATTGCATATTTCACCTCAAGGATTAAATGTGTATACGGAGGAAGGAAGTTCAACAAAATTCAAATACTTCTGTCCGTATTTCTCAGCACCTGGTGGATGGAGCCAACAGTTTGTCGATTCGGTTACGTTGATGAATATCGAAGGGAATCGGGAAGCATTAATTGGAACCGGTCCCAAGGGCATCGAATACTTTCCGATTTCTGATAAGTGCAAGAACTATGTGATTGAAGGATCGGACGATTTCAAACACGCTTTGGTGGCAGGAGGTGCTACGAAAAACGGCAACCAAATTAAGGTTCTAGGGTACTACAACGGTGAATTGTCTGTGATCACATTGGAAGTTGAAGAATTTGCTGAACCCAAATTGAATCAAGACTCAATCCCCAAAGAACCACAGGAACGCATGAAGGCAACGAAAAGTTCAAAGATCACTGTGCGTAGTGGCAATTCCAGCAAATCTATCCGTTGGCTTCGGGATAGTCTGGATGAATCTAGCTTCAAGAACATCGTCGATAAACTGTCCGGAAAGGTGCAGTTTACTTTCCCATTGATCGACCTGCAAGATCGCATGGGACTTCCGATCAAGCTGATGGTGTACTACGGTGAATCGGAGAGTGAAGATATGAGCGTTTTGGGTAGACACTGGACCTTGGGCAAGGATTGTATCGTGCTGGATCATGGGAATACGGTGTTTGCAGATAAGCATGAGTACTTTCTGGTGAAGGATCAGACGAAGGTAAAGCTGGAGAGGGATTGGATGAAGCCCTCAGCTGGAGGGAAGATAGCATTCTACATAGCTGGTCACAAAAATGTGATGTTTGAGTACTCGGTGCAGGATGAGAGGTGGGAGGCCAACGATGGTAAGATCCGGTACGTGTATGGCATCAAGAATCAAGGCGTGGTAAGTGTTCCAGGTTGGAATGATTGGTACGGACCGTCTGCAAAGTTTGATCAGACCAAAAATCATGCCATCCAATGGAATTTGGTAGAAATAAGCAGCGTTGCCTTCAAAGACGTTAAAATTAAGTATTCTTACACTGCACTCGACACAAACACAAATACGATGCACCTGGCTAGCATAAGTGATGGGGATAAAACTAATATTAAATTCAGCTATAAATCAATCAAGGTGGTAGATAAGCAACCTGATTCGAGTTTGGTGAAGGAACATTCATTTATCAACAATAAGTTATTGGAAAAGGTAGAAATAGAAACTGTAAGCATTTCTCAATCACTGAAAATAACGAGCACCACAATTGATTCCTTGCACTACTTAGAAAGCATAAGTCAAGAAGGCGATTCAGATCCTGTTTTAAGATTCGAATATAACAGAGAAGATCAGTTGAAGCCAAGAGTGGCACAAATTCAGTTGCCATCGAAGGCAGTTCTAAACTTTCAATATACAAAACAGGCCATCCAAACCGATCAATTCATACAGGAGATAGACAAAATGGCCGATTTGTACACAGGAAACGAGTATTCACTGCAAATTACGAAGCAGGCAGGTGAAACAAATCTCATCGTAAATTTTAAGGATTCATCAGGCAAAAATGATTTCGTCAAAGATGAAACCTTGCGTATAGAAAGCTACCGAGGGTTCAAGATCAAATCCTACAGTCCAATCATGAAGCGGAACTATTTCGCGGTGGTGGTAAGCTACAGCGAAAAAATTGCAGCAAGAAAAGGTCAAAAAGAGGAAGACGAAAAAGAAGCTATTCATAACAAAATCAACATTTTCAACAAAGGCGACGACGACAGGTGGAAAATGGACCCCGCAAATCAGAATTCTAGAGTCACTAATGATAAAAACTTCAAGTATGATTTTCAGGAGGACTCGTTCGTTTACTATCACTCGAACAAAGTTCACTTCGAGTACCACAAAGCGGGAAGCCACGAATGGAGTTACGCTTCACAGGATATTGGTGAAACTTTTGCTCTTTCATTGATCAATAGAGGAGCCATCTATTGGAAAGGTGACCTCATGATGATACGATGGGATGCCTCAGGAAACTCTAGGCAGACAACTCTCAGTGATCCAAATAGTAAAGCCAGTGCATCGGACATTGGCTCATTCTATCGGTACATCGCTGTTCAAGGAACCTACGCCGAAGACGTCGAAGGATCTAAGAAAGAAGTAGATGATTACCAACGGGATCTTACGGAGTCACTATTAAGAAATGGGCTTGTTGTGTACAACAATCTGGTTGCACTGAGGACGGTCATGTTGAGCTCACTCGGAAAAACTTCTATCAAAGTGTTTCTCTATCTGTTGAAAGGAGACTACACCGTCTCAAGCAGATCTTCGATTGAGATGGAGGGTGAAGACATCACTAAATTCAACCTTACATTAGACGTGTTTGACGAATACAAAACAAAGGATACCAGCCAACTGGACAAGTATCGATTTGAGTTCAAGAAAGAGAGCGACAAGTACAAGCTGAAGTTCACTGGAGCTACGGATATGAATAATAAACCAACTAACCCTTCAACAGAAAACCAGCAGCTCATCGAGCAATACGAACGGCGCATGAAAATCCCCTTGGACTTCGAGAAGTACATGATGCAGGTCAACCACGACGGGATCATCCTTAACAATCATCAGATCATACACAATAACGGAAAATTCGAAACCAAACCTTTGGACCGTGACACTTTGAAATTGACGAAATTCCGGATTCCACTTGGTACTTTCTCCAACATCAACAAGGTCTCTGAAGCCGGCGATATAAAGTTTTGTACCAAAACTGAGCAGCAAAAATCGGAAAACTGCGTAAGTTTGGACATCAATACCGCACAGAACTTGTCGATCAAGTATCCGTACTACCTTGTGACGCAGAAGCGCAACGACATCAAAGTTCTGCCGCTCAAGATTAACAGTCGTGGTTGGGAAGATCCGGTAGACTACAAGGGAGAAATACTTCATGGATCAACCAGCCATTCAGTTTTGGTGACTACTCGGATCAGCGACAAAAAGACCATCGTGAGACCGTTGAAAAGCTTGAACAAGAAAAACAGCGCTTCCACACAGGTCATTTCGGCCGAGAAACTATCGACACCGTACGACGATTACCAGATCAAATACGAGTACTCCAACCCTGTGGTGTCCATGAATGAGATCGCCTTCAAGACGACAGTGGTCATTCCAGGTGGGGACAAGAAAGTCACTGGCTATTACAAAGAAAATAGCAACCTTCAGGCCAATGAACAAATAGTGCAAGTCATGACGGCCGACGATCAAGTGTTCGATCCGGAATACGTCAAACGCATGAACGAAATGAAGGAGGAAGAGAATAAGCAACGAGATCGTTCACAGCTTGACGAGGAGCAGACTGTCACCGACAAAAGCGGCAAGCATCCAATTTTGAAGGTTACTCCATACAGCGTCAGCCAGAACCTAGTTCACTTCATCGGATTCGAAGACTACGAAGACACTAACGGATGGACCGTCAATCGAAAACCCTTATCCGATTCAGGCAGCATTCGCCGAAATGAGTTCTCTGCAACTGGTAGAAACTTCTTACTTCTGAATAACGGAGAAGAATTGTCCAGAGAGCTTCCCAACATGCCATACTACGATATCTTCATTGCCAGTGCCTGGATACGAACGACACAGGAGCTGGTCGTCGGTAGTCCTACAGACATGATTTCAATCTACGTAGACAACCGACAAATCAAAGGCGCCATCAAGCAAAGTATCGACGAATGGATCCAGGTTGAAGCTGCGACGACTTCCATCGAAGTTACTGGAAGCAATTCAGTGAAAAGGGTCACACTGAAAGTAGTCGTCAAACCGACCGGAGCTAATACCATTCACGTGGATCACGTTAGAATTTCCCCGATGAACTTCAATCTGGAAGCCAACGTCTACGATTCGCACATTGGTCAGCGAACTGCTCAGATTCAAAACAATGGGTACATTTCCCGACGGCTGTATGATGTGTATAACCGGCGAGTTGCCGAGGTTGATGAAAATGGAAACATCAAATATATGGCGAGCTATTCCAAGCGAATTGGGAACAAGAAATCTACAAGCAAGCAGGAGGGAGGCAACAGCTCTAGAGTGCAAATTCGGGCCAAGAGGAGCTGGTTGGAGTCATTTTCTCCGTATACTGTGGAAAAACGATGGCAATTTACGGGGGGTTCGACCGTAGAACCGTACAGCATTGCTTTGCAAGGCAAAATGACCTTCGGCTATCCAATTTCTGCAGAATCAATTTGCGTTCGATTGGTGTACAGTTTGGCCAACAATGCGCAGTTATCGATCATGATTGGGAAAGTTCAAGTTACAATCAAAGCTAATGCCGTTCAGTATAAAGGAGCTTCCTATTCCAGTCCAAGCAGCGCTGAGATCATTGTCTTTGTTACACCAACATTTACCAGTATTTGGGTGAACGGGCACCTTGGCATGGAAACCTCAGAGAGCAGCGTGAAGTTCAGCAATGAAACAATCTCCTTACAAGCTACGGGATCTGTTGAAGTCAAAGACCTAATCATCATGGAGGACGCAGAGATTCAGGTGTCCTACATGAACCGCGATTCCAAGCCGATACAAGAGATCCTATTGCTTGACTCGAGCAACATTCTAATCCGCCAGATGAGCTACGATGTCATTGGACGAAAGGTCGCTGAAACGGTTTGGGTTCAGAAATCGCTTGCTGATCGTAGTGCAGGTGGCTTCAAGGCTCTCAAGTATCATGACGATTTTGTGTCCAACGACAATCCTGCCAGTCCGGATTACTTCCTCAAATCTGGACCAATGAAAGGCTTGGTGTCTGTCACCAACAATATGTATGAAGGATATCCGTATAGTCAAATCGACTACTATGGAAATCCCTTGGAAGTTCGCCATAAGATCGGTCAACCTGGAAAGCACAACTCGGTTCGAGGTAATTATGCACAAGAATATTTGATAGCTTCCGATTTGCCTTTCATTCAGAAGTTCTACCCGAAGGAGGAAGGATACCGCCAGGAACAGGAGAAGTCTCCCAACGGAAAGAAGCACGTTGTTGTGTACAATCGCAGAAACAAAAAGGTCGCCGAGTACACCCAGGTCAAAGACTTCAACAATATTCTGACTACGTACGTCTACGATAAGCATGGCAATCAGATTCAGATGCTTCCACCAAGTTACTATAGTGAACAACTGAAAAGCACCCATCAAGGATTTAAGCCGGAAAAGACAGTAGTCCAGTCGCCCTGGGCAGTTGATTCAACGTACGACGAATCCGGAGAACTGATTGCATCCAAAGTAACACCGGATGGAGGCCGAGTTGATTTCATCTACAACGAATACAACCAACTTCGCTATCAGCTGCATTACGGAGAAAACAGAAAGGTAGACAAGATCGTCTACTTCCTGTACAACGTTTTCGGGCGAGTATGTGAAGCTGGACAGGTGCTGGCTACTCCAGATATCGAAAGACAAGTACGCGAGACCACGAAAACTCATCAACCACTCCCGAAACGTGATTCAGCCGTATACTTTGACTACGGAGAAACTGAGCCTGAGCCATCGTTGCGTGGCCGAATACAACGAACGGTGAAGAAAAACACGGATGTCACGTTCAGCGAAGTGCTGTTTTTCGATGAAGAGGGCAACGTTATTCGCAAGAGCTATATTAGTCCAACGTCTAATGAAACATTGTCTCTAGAGTATCTGCAGGAGAACGACAAGGTTTCCGGAATTCAGTATCCATTTGGAGTGGATGGACAACAGTTGGTTCTTAAGTTCCGGCACAATTTGAGAGGGGAAATCATTGAAGTGTCCAGGATAAACCGAAAGTCAAAGGACCAGGTTGAATACATTCCCATTGCTGGTATAGATCATGATGCTGAAGGGAAAGTGACTGGAATTACTCATCATTACGGAAAGAATAAATTCGGTCAAGCCTATAAATATGTTGCTCCTGGATATTTGGCGGAAATTCAGAATGATTACCTAACGGAGAAGTTGTACTACACGGAAAAAGGATATGGATGTGAACCAACCGGAGATGGCAGCATTCTACGAACCGAGTTCAAAGCCAGTTGGCATGATAAGTGCGATCAGAACTTGATTCCTCTGACGGCCAGAGCATTTGCTTCGAATACGATCAACTTCAACGTTGCAGAGACTTGTTTCGATGCCTTGTTCGATTTGGGTTATATCGATACAAAGGGCCGGCCCGTGAAGACGTTTTATCCGGATTTGGAAACAAGAGTACCGTGGAAATGCGCAACGGCACCTACTTGGAAACACATTTCGGAAATGCTGCTGGAAAAGGGCTACCCAGAACACTACGGACATGCGTATGACTACGGAAGTCATGGAGAACTAGTTTCCGCCAAGAGTTTTGTTGGGCAGGAGAAGGACAACCTGGATCCTCCTTTGTCAAAAGCCGCACTATCAAAGGCTGGATTCCGAACAACACAGGATTTGGATAATTTCTGGAGCGAGCTCAACAAAGGCATCAGGAAGATTGAAGGCACCAGAGCACTCTTTGAAGGATCTCACCAGCTGTCCAGTGGATCCTTAGGATCAGTGATTCATAGGCAGAAACTGAATGCCATACTGGAAGGTAAGGGTAGTGATCCATCAATATGTTCTACTTGGACGAATGGTGATAAGCTAGAGGAAGGAAAATGCAAGAAAGATTTCCAGTCATTGTTCAACAATCTAAATCTCAAAGGAATACTTACGAAACTAGACAGAAACCTACAGCCAAAGGTTTTGCAGATTCTGAAGAGAAGTCTTGCAACTGTTCTGGGAAACTCCCCCGGAGACGTGGAATCATTCTCCATCGATCCAAATGGCAACCATGGTGTGTTCTATACAGGATTCAAACGCTTCGAGCTGAAGTACAAACCAAGAAAGAATCAAATCGATACAATCAAGGAAGGCAAGCATGATCGAGTGATCGTACATGACAGCGAAGGCAACGTGGTCAAAGCACTTCACAAAAACATCGAAAAGATTGAATACGATCCACTGACACAGCGAGTCTCCCGCATTGAGTTGACCAACAAATCTTTGGTGCTGGAATTTGGCTACGATTTCCGGGGTGAACGAACTGTGAAGCGCGTTCGCAACAAGAACAATGAAGTAATCTCGGAGCTCTACTACGTCCGGGACAACAAAGGAAACGTTTTGGTGGAATACAAACAGGAGTACCCCAACCCGAAGGAGCCGAGCAAGCCCATCAGTACGGTCACTGCTTACATTCACGGTCCGCTGGGTCTTCTCGGGTTCTTCCGCAACAACAAGTACTACAACGTCCTTCTCGATCACGAAGGCTCCACACGGCTCGTCATCCACAATGGCAAAGTAGTTGCTGCCTATGACTACCTTCCGTACGGGCAAATGATTCGCAAGTACGGATCCAACCCGGAGGCTCACATTGCCTTCCGCTACACCGGACAAGAGTTTGACGAAGAAACTGGCCTCTACAACTACCATGCCCGTATCTACGACCCGGATATAGGTCGTTTCTTCCAGATGGACCCCATGGAACAGTACGCTAGTCCATACAAATACGCTGGTAACTCGCCCGTCTCACAGATCGATCCGGACGGTCAAATCGCTGTCACCTTAATATTGATGATAGTTGGTGCGATTGTTGGAGCTTATCTGGGTGCAGCCTCGGCAAACAACAGTTGGAACCCGGCCAAGTGGGCTTGGAATGATAAGAAGACCTGGATTGGCCTGTTCGCCGGTGCACTGATGGGAGCATTCGCAGTGTACGGAGGAGCAGCATCCTTTAGCTACTTCACAGCTATGTTTGGTGGTTCCATGATTGCAGGTGCGTTGGCCACGGGAGCCATTTCGGTGGCCGGTGCTTTCCTTGGGGCGGCCGCGGCTTCTAACGAGTGGAATCCAGCCAAATGGGATTGGACGTCACCGGCCGTATGGAATGGACTTTTCACGGGAGCGTCGATAGCCGTTACTTTCCCATCCGGATTTGTTGGAATCACACGCAGCTTCCTCTCAATATCGACCAACTTGGTTAGAACGATATACGCGACATTGATGTTGGGTGGATTCTTGCTGCTTGTTTGGCTTGGTGGAAGTATGGCAAATCAGTTCAATTTCCAAATGTCCGAATGGGACTGGAAGAGCCCTCGGACATGGTTCGGGATGATAGAAGGTGCATCGACCATCTTCATGGGAGTTGGTGGCACAGCTAAACATGGTGCTAGCAAGATTCACTACGTAGTTAAACCTGGTAATATGAAGGTGGCTTGGCACAGGATCAACATCCCAGCTAAGTCTTTCACATTACGGAAGGTGAAGGATACAGTCATTGTAACATGGTACAAAAACGGTCAAGCAGTAAGTAAACAGATGCTGAAGACTACTGTTAGGGCAGATCTGGCGAAAATTCCCAAGAACTCAGTGGCTTTGCAACGGACCTTCTTCATGCCGTATCAGCGGCTGGCCTACGCAGCAATCACGGCACCCGTATTGGCCGGAGCAATGTTTAGACGCTACCAGGATCACTTTGCCAACCATCCCAATGGGACTCTGACGAAACCGGTCCGGCGGAAGCGGTTCGCTTCGATGGCAAACTCAGCGGCCGGACCCGGTGTTTCGAGTTTTTTGAACGATCTCTTCAGCGATGTATCGGATTTCTTCAATTCGTTCTTCATCCACACGGAGAATCAACAGGTCTTTGATTCGGATCGATCAATCGGGCTCGCAAAGAAGTATGATAATCGTCCGCTGGAAGATCTGCCTAGCAGGTCGTTTCAAAAGCTGTGCTATTCTCCGAATGTCGAAGGCAATCAAATAATTTGTCCCCAACGTGAATCCACGGTGAATGTCTTCTCCAAACTCCCGGCATTCGAACCTGAATTATTCGGACAAGATTCGTTCGGCAAATGTATGCCACTGACGTGGCATGATCGGCCTTCGATCGTATGCGATGGGCAACAGACGACCTTTGTCTACACGCCTGTTCAGAGCCTTAGGGTGTTTGATTTGGTGGATGGGTGGTTGATGCTCGCTAGAATCACTCCGGCTGCAGTTCGGAACGTGACGGCAGGGTTCAGCTTCCTGAAGAATGTGTTTATCGGGGAGTGTAGAGAACGAGCTTCTCCGATGAGACATCGGATGGATCGTTGCAAACAGCAATTGGAATGCAAATTGCTTGCTCTGAAGGATGCGATGGTGGGCAAGAAACCATCCGAAGTGCAATGGGCTGAGCCTATTGTGAGCGATTTGGAAGACGACATTGGGGAGTTTGTACGAAGCAAGAACTCAACTCAAGAGGACTTTGAATTGCTACAAGAGAGGTTGAGTTCCCTGAGGGAAGATGTTATGGAGGAATCTGGTTTTGATCATGGTTTGAACATGACCGCATTGTTAGGGGAAATGCTAAAGCGAATGAATGGTCAGGATGTAGTTTTCAATTCAGCTGCTGACTTGATTTCGTTCAAGGAAGCACCTGTCTCGTTTGTTTTACCAGAAGGCCATTTACTGAGGTAATGCATTTGAAGTTTTTTTCGGGGGCGCATTTTCGTGTGTCAAAGTAGCAGCTAAAATGATGGGAGAAAAAACATATTTGCCAGTAATACAGAAATAAGATAATTTATGTTAAACATGTTCTGATGCCTAGAAGATAGATTTTACATGGGGTAGTAAATATGAATTGTTCAATTATGTGTTTTATTGAAGTACTGAAATAAATGAAAATAAAGAATCGTTAAATTAAAAAAAAAAAACTTTGCTAGATTTTCCCAAAGCTCACTACAATCTCAGAAAATTTAATTGCGAGATTTTTACTATATACATCCAAACGCAAATCGGTAAACAACACGGTCAAGGAAAGTAACTCAAAATTAAGTAAAATTTTATTCAAAATTGTAAAAAGAAGTAATAGAGTGAAATTTTCCTCGATTTTCCAGGAAAAACTTCTTGAATATGATCAGAATCGTGTGATATTTCACTCCTAGAATGATCTTAATTGGTTGATGAGCGTTTTAGTTGAATAATTGTATACCTTATTGCGTTTTTTTCCTACTACTTTAGAAACACTTTCACTTTCACTAATTAACTTTCATTATTGAGTTTCACTATCACTTAAAAATAACAGATACGTATTTCATTTACTACTTGCAAACTTCTTCAGCTTTATCTGTAATCATAAATAAATTTTCTCAATATTTGGATACAGATTACAGGTTTAAAAAAAAATCAGACTTTTCTGCTTCTACATTTATGATTTTTGATGCAGATTTTAAGCCCCTTCTAAATATACAAAAAAAAATCGGCATGGTTTTTTTTTTTGCATAATTCACTTAAAAGGAGGGGCTTAAAATTTGCATCAAAAGACATAAAGATAGATACCGTCTGACATGCTCAGTGCTCGGAATCAATATTCGGTGACTGTGTAAGGGAAACCACTTTTCCCATCATGGAAACGCCTCGTTTTCCGATGATAAAATTATGCATTTTCATGCACAAAACACACGGAATTTTCTTATTCAAAATATAATACAAAAATAAAAGCAAAAACCGATTGCAGGAATTTGTCTGCTATTTTTTTGTAATCGTGAGATATTCGCGATCAACCATAAACATTTGAGATTTTTTTTTCTAGCGTCCTAAAGAAAGCCTTACCTTAATTTGAAGTGATTCTGGCTAATTGACATGACCATGCTTGGCATACACAGTTGTACACACCAACTGCTCATTTGTTAATAACTTTTCAATCAGTTGTTGAAATTTAGTTTTCTTTAAATTAATTGATTGATTAGGATCATTGTTTACTGTAGACATGCAAAGAGTAGGTCAATTTTAACATTTGAATCAACGCAAATGAATTTTTACGCTTAAAGTCCGAGATGTGCAGCGAGTATTTCTCTCTTCATTTTTGCAACGCAAAATCAAATACAGTTTGTTACTAAAATTACATTTTTTTTAACGTTTGTATAAGAAGCTTAACCTCTTCTCTATCGATTGCTTCAAACAGAACTGTGTTTCGTCAACTCTGTGTAAAATTATTAGCAAATGAGCAGTTTGCGAGCCAAACTGTGTATGCCAAGCATCTACATGACCATGCTTTTGGATCGCGAACTGCTCATTTGCTAATAATATTGCACAGAGTTAACGAAACACAGTTCTGTTTGAAGCAATCGATAGAATAGAGGTGAGGCTTCTTATAGGTATTCGGTCATTGCGAGAATTTGAATGTACCGCTTCGATACTTGACGCATTTGACCACAAACGTTTTGTTTCTGGGTACATTATCAAAGAGCTTTGAGGGTGATGTGGCTGGCAGCAAGGCGAGTGAACGTAATTTATGGTGGTCCTGAAAAAGACCGTTTTGTCGTGATAGTTTAGCTTAGCTATTAGGGTGTTCAACACGGATGAAGCTGGCGAGCTGTATGTTGTTTGGAACGAGGGTGACGCGCTTGGCATAGAAGGCTCACAGCGACTCATAACGAGCAACTGAATCCCATCAGCGGTTTAAGGCAGCCTTGATAGCTAGGTGCTTGCGAGGAGCCTTTCGTTGTGTACTGGATAATACCATCACTCACCACACGCGGCGATTGAAAGAACACCGTTCGGTGAGACTGGATGGAATTCAATTTTGAAATCTGTGTTAGGGAAAGAGCTTTTTTCAGGCAATCGGTGATAATTTTAACTATCATAGCAACTTAATTTAATTTATTATTATTACAGTCCATCTGACTTGATAGTCTCAATGAAACACTTAAATCTAAATGTAGTCACTCATTAAAAATTAAAAATTGGCCGACGGCAAACGATGATGAAACCTGGAGGCATTGATGTCAAAGTCAAATAGGTCAGAGGCTTCGTTGAATTGATGAATCATGGCGACAAAGGAACTGTTTGCAGCATAGTTGGTTGCATGTACTACTTCATGTAGCAAGGTTCTCGGACGGAGCATACAGATTAATTTTGGCCAGTAACTCAGGAACATCATATTCTGCGAGTAAAACTTTAGCAACGAAGACGACCTGCGATATGTTTCGTCGCTTAGCAAGAGTATCCAAACCCAGTAAACGACAGCGGTCAGCATACGGTGGTAAATTCAGCGGGTCACTCCATGGAAGATAGCGCAGTGCGTATCTGACGAATTTGCGTTGAACAGCTTCGAATCGTCCACTCCATACTGCTTGGTAGGGATTCCAGTAGTGAGCGTACCAATGAACAGTAAAGGGCTTTAAAACACAGAGGATCACCAAATTCTTTAGATATCTTGAACATGAATCCAAGCTGACGATTAGCTTTGTCGATCGTGGTTGAGAAGTGGCGAATGTATGTGAGCTTTTCATCCAACATGACACCGAGGTCTTTAACGTGATCGTGTCGTTGAACTGCAGTCCCAGCAACGTTATAATCAAACAAAACGGCAGTCCTAGTTCGACGGAAACTAATTACGCAGCACTTTGAGACGCACAGATTTCAAGAACGACTAGATAAATCTTCAAGTCATCGGCAAAAAACAATTTACCTCCACGTAGTAGAATAAACGTTACATCGTTCACAAATAAAGAGAAGAGCAGTGGTCCCAAAGTGCTACCCTGTGGAACTCCTGATCTGTTCGAGAAACAGTACGATGAGTAGTTTCCGATGCATACAGTAACTTCACGTTGCACGAGGTGCGATCTAAGCCAGCTGCAGAAGGAAACAGAACATCCAATTTTTTCAAGCTTTGCTAGCAGAACGTCGTGCACAACTCTATCAAACGCAGCTTTAAGATCAGTGTAGATGGCATCCACTTGAAGTTTCTTGCATACATTTTCCATACAGAACGACGTAAAGCTGACGAGGTTAGTTTCCACGGAGCGGTCAGGAAAGAAACCATGTTGACATGTACTTATGTAATGCATGCAGGAAGCAAACAATCTCTCATTTATCAGCGACTCAAACAACTTAGATTCAACCCCAAGCGAGGTAATCCCACGGTAGTTTTCCACATTGCGTTTGTCTCCTTTCTTGAAAACAGGGAACATAGTAGAGCGTTTCCATAGTGCGGGAAATTTCTGTTGACGAAGTGACAGGTTGAAGAGCAAGGACAACGGAGCAGCTAAGATATCGGAGCATTTTTTTAGGACTGCATGGAATAACACTCGGACCTGGTGAAAATGATGATTTGGTTTTACTCATCACAGAGAGAACCATTTGTACATCTACGACAAAAACATCCATGTTTACGACGTCGGTTGGCACATCACGGACGGCTCGCTCAATTTTTGCTTGCGATGGGGAGTCATTCGAGAAGACGCTTAAGAAGTGCCTAGCAAATAGGCTGCATTTGTCCTCAGTTGTCAATGCTACGTCATTGCCGAGAAAAATTTTTGACGGCAGTCCAGTTTCCTTTCTCTTCGTATTCACAAACGACCAGAATCCCTTGGGGTGGCATTGCAGATTATGTTGAGTACGAATTACATACCTCTTGTACAGAAGCTTGTTGTAGTGGCAATTGAAAAAATTCGCTTGGTAAGGGTACATCGTCGATGAGTTAGAGCACGGAGAGCTCTAGATCGCACTCGTTTCAGGTTGCGGAGAGTAGCGTTAGACCAAGGCGGTTTTCTTGGAGGTTGGCACTTCGGTACTGAAGCACAAACACAGTCGCGCAAAAGGCTATTATAGCGAGCGACTCCTGTATCGATATCAAGGTCATTCAACACGTTCCAGTTGATCCGGGACAAGGAACGCCTCAGCAAACGGAAATCGGTCTTCCGGAAATTGAGCCGAGTGGCAGTCATGGTTTCATCAAAACGAATTTGTGATCCGTTCGCGATAGATATATCCAAAGCAGGGTGGAAATTTTCAAGAGGAACGATGACATCAGGCGCTTCAGCGACGACACAGTCAAGAAGTGCACTTTCGCTAACAAAAACCAAGTCAAGAAAACGAGACTGGAAATTGGGAACAAGGTTTATCTGGCTCAGTCCATGAAAAGCCGTGCCGTCAACAAGCAAGCGGCTGGCAGGAGTAGTTGAAGATGCAATCGGATCTGGAAACGCATATCCCTGGCCTGAGGGTGACCAGCTAAGCCCAGGCTGATTAAAATCACCAAGCAGAAGAAGCACATCCGTTATATCAGCCATGGACGATGCAAATTCTGTAGCATCCAGATGAAGCTGCATTGTGGTGCAGTCATGTCGACGTTCAGGGGGCACCGCTCCAATGAGGATGTTCCGCGAAGTGAGGCTGACCTTAACCCAAACCGCTTCAATTGTAGTAAATAGTTCGTTGGAGATTACGCAGGAGGCGAATGCGTTGGAAACAGCGATGAGGACACCACCACCGCGAGTACGAATGCTGTTGGATGAATTACGGTCTAATCTGTAGACAGTAAAAGAGTTACCAAACAGTTGTACTGAATTGATCCTCCCATCGAGCCAAGTTTCCGTGAATACATAAACGTCATATTCCCCGTCAAGCACAACCAGATAAACATCGTCCAATTTGGTCATGAGCCCCCTGGTGTTCTGATAATAGACTCGTAAACCGCTATAGGGTTCGGTGCGAGCCGTGTCAATGGTAACTTGTCCAGGATCCGAACGAGAGAACGGTGAACTATCAGGCAGCGAAAGATCACCTGGCGTAGAAAGGTTCGAAGTGGTGGCCATAAGCGAAGATGAACTGAAACCAAGTGGCG